GATCCTTCAGGCCTGTCACATGATAAACATGAACCGTGACCCCTTTGTTCTTTACCCAGATAATTAGGTCTATTTTTTTTTTTTTCTGTTTAACAATGTTGTCTCATTTTCTTCTCTTTCACCCCCTCTGCTCCCCTTTTAACTTCTTACCAAGACAAGGTTTTGGGGTGGCAGTTTAATGTTCTTGCTGAAGTATAGCATCAATGCAGAAAGTACAAAAATCATAAGCACACTCCATTTTCCCACCATGAACACACCCAGGTAGACAGGAGTCTGCTCAAGAAGGGAACATCACCAGATTTCCAGAAAACCTCTTTCCCCTTCTAGTCACTTCTCATCTCCCCCGAGGGGACTCACTGTCCTGACTTCTCTGTAGTTTGCCTGTTGTTGGACTTTGGTAGAAATGAAAGCATACAGTATGTATTCTTTGTATCCTGTCCTTTTATTTAATGTTTTTGAGATATTCATCCATATTGCACATGTTCTTGCTGTATGGATTAAACATTAGCATAATTTATCTCATTTATAGCTAACAAGTACCTCTATTTAAATGTGCTGTGGTTTTAAGGACGTAACTCCTATCCAGAGCAAAACTGTTACTCACTGCCGCTGACACATTTTACTATCTTTTTTCCTGATAGGTATTTTTTATTCAGTTTTCCAAAGCTGAGTTGTTTGGCCCGTGCCACAAAAACCTTGGAAAAATATTTTGATGGTAATGATTTACAATAGCTAAGATCACATCTGAATTACACCACCTCCCAGTGGTGATGCTAGCAGAGAAGAGTGGGATGCCAGCGTTGATTGCCATGCTTAGCCAAAGTCATAGAGGCCAACACTCGACCAGGAGCCCTGCAGATGAGAGACTGGTGAGAAGCTGGCTCCACACTATAGATTTATACTTCCAGGGGAAGTAGCTAAGCAATTGTGCAGCCAAGAACAATCTTTTTTTTTCTCTTCTAAGCATGGACTTTACAAAATCAGTTTCATGGATACTTGTAGACAGGTTTAACCTAATGGGTGTAGAAATATGATTGTAATATCATAGCCATCAGAGGCTAGACAGTATCTTTTAAGAAAATTTTATTTGACTGATAAAATGATCCTCAAGTTATGTTGTAAACATGCATGGAATTACAGCTATTCTTTTCCATGGTGTTTTGGAGATCTTAAAGAATTTTCCTCCCTTTCATCAAAATAAAATGGTAAAATGGGATAGCTCATGACACCACAGTAATGTACTGCTCAAAAATAGTTGAATCTCACATAACAATCACAATCGAATTCTTGGCCCAGTTAACTTAAACCATGCCAGGCTTGTTCATGAGTACATAGAATTGTACCAGCTAGAGGATCTGAAGGAAGGGGATGGTGGCATGACCGAACTGTCAGGATGTTCATCTCTCTTATTCTCACATGCGTGCTTTTATTATGCACGTACATGCTCTTATTATGACTAAAGAAAAAGCTAAAAAAATGTGAAGGAAGTAATCAAAATGTGATGATTATAAAAGGATAATAACAGAACTAGGAGATTTTCTTCCTATGTAAGGTAAATAATCTTATTTGTATAAGTCTCTGGGGTGGATAAAGAAGAGTTGTCAATCCTATTGAGATTTTTTTATTTTCATTGTTTGTTTATTATCAGAGTATATTTGTACTTGTCAGAGTTGTGGAGAGAAAGCATTCTCCAGTGGGGTATAGTTACACCACAGTCCCTTTTCCTTTTTTCTATCCTGTCAGAATTTTGGGCACAGATGCACATGTTTTGCACTGGGCCTAGGATTTGAACTGTGGTCAAACATGTGGTATCCAGCTCCCTATGCATAGCAGTTAACCACTGTGCTATGGGACTTACCTATTGGGATGCTTTTTGAAACAAAGTATAGGAAAAAATTTAAAGGCTTTTTTAGAAAGAATTATTTTTTGTATGTATTATTATCATTTTTTCACATGCGCTCACTGGAGAATGACCAAGGGAAAGTGAGAAAGCAAGCTGCCAGGTCCAGAACTTAGACTGTGGTCAGCCACATGGGAAGTCCAGCACCTCAACACACACTGGCCTAAGAATAAAAAATTTAAATTTTACAAAATTATTATCCTTCAAAAATCCTTCTGTGGTTTTTATTCCTTCAAATTTTATTTTAAAAGCAGTAGTGTATAGATATATTGATATTAGAAAACTCTTACCATAGGAGTGTTGAGTTTCTTTCATTTTTGAATGACATTTAGAACTTGTGTACATTGATAACCTGTGTTGCTTTGTGCACTCTACTAAGTCCTAGAGGGGACAGAAACTAGTGTTTTTCCTTTAAAAGCTTACAGCCTCATGGAATGTGGTGGTTGAGGGAGCATATACTAAGTATTATAGTACAGTGGAATTGCCACAGTGAGAATTCCTTGGGATATGGGATGAGACTCATTTGAAAATGGTCTTAAAAGATAGTAGATTGACCTGAAATGGCTTCTTCACGGATCTCTGCCTACTTGCAGAGGAACGGTTGGCTGGAGTTGAGATACTCTATAGTGGAGTACCAGGATGGATGCAAGGCTCGAAGGAAGCCAGAATGATAATACCTGATGTCATAGCTAATAATATGCAGTGACTGGAGAGCACTCACTCACTTTAGATATAATTAGAAATTGAGTCCCAGCTCAACTTTGCTATGTGACTTTGACGGGATTGCTTATTGTACCTAAACTCAGTTTCTTCACTGATGAGTGGGGACAGCACTCATATATCTTACTGTGATATTGTCTGAAGAAAAGAGATAAGTGTGAAAAGTGCTTACCATAGTTCTGAATATTTAACAAGTTCTCAAGTAGCTACTTTGGGCAGTGGGGCCCATCGAAGATTGTGGACCGTGGAATAGTGGGATCTGAGCCACAAAAGAGTTCTATTTTTATTACCGACATGCAAAAGTCTGTGCACATTTAAAGTGTACAGTTTAATAGATTTTTGTGTATATATGTGTGTGTGTATATATATATATATATATATACACACACACACACACCTATGAAATAATCACCATAATTAATATAAAGAACACATCATGCCTGTAACATGCAGGCAAGAATGGAGCAAAGTAGAACCTAGAAGTGGCGAAATCATTTGAGAGGTTGTTGGCCATGGTCAAGATGAATGAGGTCATGGGGCCTGCAGGTGGTGTGGTGGTTAAGGGCGCTGGATTCCCACATGACTGACTCTGGTTTAGTCCCAGACCTCGATGGCTTGCTTTCTCACTGCCTCCTGCCATGCCTCTCTGGTCCAACTAAAAGATAAATAAGTAAAGTTAAATAAAGTAATCATAATTTTTTATTAATTATTTTATTTATCCATTCATTTCTTTTAATTTGATCAGAGAGAGAGACACACAAGCACACAGAAAGAGAGGGAAAGTGAGAAAGCAAGTCCCCAGGTCCAGGACTTGAACCGTGGTCAGCCATGTGGGAGTGTCCAGCACTTTAACCACCATGCCACCTGCTGGTCTCCAAATAAAATAATTATTTTTAAAAAGAAAGAAAGATGAATGAGGTCATGAACTAGCAGTTGTGCTATCTGAGACCGTGGACTGGTGAGAACAGGATGGACTCTTCATCATTGTATTATCTCCAGTACTTAGACCAGGGAGCATAGGAGACAGGCTTTCCTCTGATGAAGGATTCCTTATTTTAAACTATTTCTCCCTTTTTTTCTGTTTAGGGCTTAAAAGATAACCTTCTTGCTTCTGGAACATCCAGCCTGACAGCCACCAAACAGTTGCTTCGCCCAAGAATCACCAGAATCTGCCTCAGGGACTTGATATTCTGTATGGAACAGGAAAGAGAGATGAAATATTCTCGAGCTCTATACCTTGCCCTTCTGAAGTGAGCACTCCACTCTCCATCTAGATCCTTGCTACCTACTGCCAAAGATGACATCAAGAGCATTGTTGCACTGTCTGAAATTTTCCATTTCTGGAAAATAATCACCAATATGGAACACCATTGTTTACAGTTACAACCTTTTATTAAGTCTTACGTGCATACCCGATGGGATTCTTATAGACTAGAATTCAGCTTTGTTTTTTGAAAATTAGTTCTGAAATACATTTTCCATAAAAAATAGGCATCTGCCTACCTGTGCATTTAATAGCAAATTAAGATCTTACTTGTTACGACCTGCTTAAGTTGCCAGCCTGTAACAGGTGAGGTGTCTTTCTATAATGCAGCCTGCAGTGCTATGTAAGAGAAAGAAGAATCACTACCGAGAAAAATGTGTTCATCCATACTGAGCCGGTCTCAGAGTGTTAGCTTTTTCGTGCTAGAATCAGAAGTTGCTTAGCTAACTATGACAGTCACCTTCTATAGTTGAAGGTGACAGGCCACAGAGTAGGGCCTGTGGTGACTTTGGTTGGCTGAGACCCAGTCTTGTCAACATGAGACAAATAGGGATAGTTTGTGCCTGAGGTTGCTAATTCTCTGGTTCATATCACTATGTGCTACTTCTACCAAGTGAGTGGACAGCTTTGTCAGAGAAACCTTAAATTTGAAGCTGCTGATATACCTCAATAGAAAATGGAAAAAGTAGAAAGTATAGGAAGGAAGGATGGAGCATTGAGTTCAAATTGAAGAGGGCAAAATGAAAATGGAAACATAAAACAGGAAATGTGATGCATGCACCCAACAGGGACAGGGGTGGAACTCCAAAGTGACTGTACATGTTTTGTTGATGGATTAAAAAAAAAGAAAAATCACAGCTCAATCAAAAAAGGAAAATGGTATCCGGCATTTTCACATTACAGTATTTCAGAAGGAAAAGTTATTTTTTTGTTTTGTATTGTTCGAGATTCCAGGAAAGATGGTTTTAGTATTTCCTTCTCTCATAAAATTATTTAGTTGCCCAACATTTTAGGTATCTTGCCACATTTAAAAAAAAAAAAATCATAATTCATGATTAGAAATGTTTAGCAGAACTCCATTTTGGATTCTGTAGTTAAAGAGGTCACATCAGCATCTCACCCTTGGAGATCTTCGCTCTAAATATGGAAAGTGTGTTACGTGTTATACATGGTCATCTGAGAAAGGCTGGTGTATAAAGCAGACCCTCTTTTTGTTTTTTTTCTCCTTTCCAATTTGACCCGTGTGAAATTCAGCTGGTAAAATAGAACAGCTGCAGTTAGAATCACATACATAAAGAATGACTGAAACCTCCAAGAAGGTTTTTAAAGAATGAGAAATGCCGTGCTGCTTAGAAAAAAGAATTCAGGGGGAAATAAACACCTCAACTGCTACTCTTCATCCTCTTCCCGGTGGGACTGTTATGGCCATGTTCTATACTGTAGTAAGTTTTAAATTGGCCACATTTTTTTTGTTTCAGCAAGTTATGTAAAATGCTATAAATTATGTACATGTTAAAAGAATACTTTTAGAAGAGATCTATACCCAAAGTTGTTTTTGTATATTTAAATGCTTAGCTTTATTTTTTTTGTAAAGTGCAGCATATGCCTGTATTTGTGTATAATCTTATTGATCAGATGTTTAAAATTATTTCAAATACTACATTAAAATAATTATTTTATTATAAGAATAACTTTGCTCTGTCACTGACTTAGAAAACCAGTGTCATTAGTAGTCAGCCCTGCAATGCTCAGATCTGCCAGGCAGTGGCTCTGGCTCTTCTTGACTCTTACTTTAGAGTGTGGGCATTTGGGCTGTAAAGCTTCATGTCAGGTCCAACTTACTGTATTACTTTCTTTGGAAATGGTTGTAAATTTACATGCTGTTTGACTCACAAAGATAAGGATATTTGTTACAAAAGCTTTTCTTGGCTCATCATGGTTTTCTTACAGAGATACTTTTTTGAAAATTTATTTTTAATATACACTATCCAGTTCTGTGCTGTGAAGTTTTTTCTTACACACAAAAGAACAAATAGTGCATTCAAGGCATTGTGCTCAATTTGCAAAATGGGGCTATAGGAAAGGTCCAGTAGATTTTGTGTGTTTGTATTTGTTTTTCGTTTTGTTATAGGGTGTGTGTTCTCCCCAGAGTGTGAGGGGGGAAAGTGAGAAATCACTCCCCGCCCGGGGGATGACCATACCACAGTCCCTTCTCTATCCTCCTCTTGAGATTTTGATTGTGCACACATACACGCCCAGCATGTATGTTTCTAAGCTGCTGGGTTTGGGACTGGAACTACACAGTCTACCACGTGGGATCCAGCCACCCCAGCCACAAGGCCACTAGCTGGCCTTAGGTTTTTATTTTTGTTTGTTTTAAATTTGTTGAGGGTGCATGCCCTTGCCAGAGAGAGCCAGAGAGGGGGAGAGAGAGAGACAAAGTGAGAAAAAACCCCCACGGTATATGGCCATGCTGCAGTTCCTTCTCCATCTCTTTCTCCATTCAGAATTTGGGGCAGGTATTTTTTCAAGCTACCAGGTCCAGGAGTAGCACTGCCCAGTCAGCCATGTGGGACCCAACCTCCTTAACTGCCATACCACACGGTGGCCCTGTTTTCATTTGTTTTCAAAAACTGGACTCACTAGGTATGTCCATTTGTCTGGCAATACTCCATCGGAGTCAATGAGTATCTGTCCACATTGGATTTGGGGACATAAGTTTACCTTCCCTGGTCTGATTTCTCTAAGCATCAGAACTTGTGACTCTCTGCCTTCAGTATTTATCTTGATTGAGAACAGTAAAAGTAGACAGTACAGAAATTTCCCATCCTTCTTAAAAGCAATTTTATTTGGGCATATTTTATATATAAAATTCACCCATTTTATCCATTTGCTTTTATTGTATTAAAAACAGGGTTTTGCTCTGTCAGGATCCTCCTGCCTTAGCCTCCCAAGTAGATTAAGGCACATGCCACCATGCTAGGCTTTCATCTGTTTCCTTTTTTTTTTTTTTTAAGTTTTTCTTTCTTCCCTGAGCAAGAGTTAGCAAAGAGAGACACACAAAGAGAGACCACTACCAGGTCTTCATGCCATGCTTCACCCTCGAGCTTGAGCCAGCCCTGGATCATGGGTATCCATGCGCCCAGCGTGTTCAGGGTTTATTCCTGGATGTTAACCTAGGACCTTCCTACGGTGTTCAGCCCTGGACTGTTGTGATACTACTGTGTCGCTACCCAGCCCTCCATTTACTATCTTTCAAAAGTTTCATCTATTCCACGAGTGAGAGAAACGGAACTCCCAACAGGGTGTTGATGCCACAGTTCACCCCCGGGCCTTAGCCAGCTCTGGATCATGGGCAAGTGTGTGCTCAGCATAATCGGGGGAGATCTCTGGACTTGACCCAAGAACCTTGCCATGTGGTATTGCCTTGCATTTTACTGTAATGCCATTGTTTGCTGCTTCCCCCTTGACTTTTGTTGTTGTTGATTTTGTCTGAGGGTGTGTGTATATGCCAAAGAGGGAGAGGGAGAGAGCATCCCCCATGAAGCACAGTCATGCCGCAGTCTCCTCTATGTATCTGTGTATCCATCCTCTCAGCATTTTGGGCACGCTCACACACAAGTGCCTGGCATGTTTTTCAAGCTGCTGAGTACAGGACTCAAACCATGAGGTTGGCTATGTGGGACATGGCTGCCTTAACCATCAGGCCAGAGAGCTGCCCACCCCCACTGGCTTATTTTTTAGAGAAAGTTTTGCTATAGGGTATGTGCACTAGCCAGAGAGAGACACACACAGAGTCAAAAAGCAAGAAATCATGCTTCAGGGTGGGCAGCCATGTTGCAATCTCTTCTCCATTCTCCTCTTGGAACTTAGTTCACGCACGCACATGTGCCCCATGAGTTTTAAGCCACCAGGTCCAGAACTCAAACCGTAGTCAGCTACGTGGGAGTCAGCAATGTTATCATTGTGCCATCTGCTGGTCTCCCCCATTGACTTTTAATATGACTGACCTTTTAAATAGTCTCCTTAATATAAGACTCTTATTTTAAAAAGAGTGAAATTTAACATTCTTTTATTTATTTTTAGTGAGAGATTTTTGTTATAGGGTATGTGCGCTCACTGGATAGAGAGACAGAAAGCAAGAAATCACCATCCTCACAAAGTTGGGCTGGTGGTGGCTATGCTACAATCCCTTCTCCTCTCAGGATTTTTGGCACTCATGCACCCTGCATGAGTTTAAGCCACCAGGTCCAAGACTCAAACTGCAGTTGACCATACAGGAGTCCAGTGACATAATTCTTTTAAACCCTATAGTTTTATTTTCAGTTTCATCAGAGAGCTTATATGCTTGCCAGAAAGAGAGAAAGATGGAGAGAAAGGGAGGAAGCACCTTCATGAGGAATGGTCATGCCACAATCTCTTCTCTACCTCGCCATCCTTGGGATTTTGAGTATGTGCACACACATGCCACCAAACTGCTGGGTTGAGACTTGAACCACATGGTTGGCCACATCAGATCTAGCTTCCTCAACCACCAGACCATGGGCTAGGCCAACTTGCATTTGGAGTCGATTTTATTTCATTAGAATTTTGGCAGAACTTTATTTATTTTGGGATTCTTTTCTATACTGTTTGAATGCTCATATATCTATAATGTTTTCAATTAAAAAATTGGAAATAATGGCATGACCCCCCCCCCAGCTGCCATGTGGGATCTGGCTTCCTATGCACAGCACTTAGCCACTGTGCTGCATTACTGCTGCCAATCCTACAGGAAATGTTATGCAAAACCATAATGTAGGAATTACTATTACTAGATCTTTCCATTATTCCCTTTTTAAAGCTTTTTTTTATGCATACACATACATAAGAGAGAGAAAGAGAAGAACCCTCAACAGGGTCTTGGCAAGCCCTAGTCCCTTTCCCCAGCCCTTCAGCTTGTCAGGTCCTCAGTGTGCACACCCACGCCAGTGTGCCTTCAGGCCGATCCAGGGATCCAAACCATGTGGCTGTGTGACTTCTAGCACTGCAGTTCAGTTTGATACCTACTGTGCCACCACGCACGCCCTGCAATCCCTTTATTTCTAATTTAACTTAGACTATGTATAGGAGTCCTGGTAGAATGTGGCTGCAATCTTTGGAAAGCAATGCATGAGTTTTTCCTCGAGGGGGCTAGTCACAGGTTTTCTGACTATTGTCAAATTTTCTGTTTCACTCAGAGTTCAGTCACGACAATGAATTGTGTCCGTGGTGTGCCTCTATCACGGAGGCGTCATGAGAAACGAGGACAGGTGGAGATGTTCTAAGGGGTAGGCGGGAGTTGGGGAGGAGGGAAAGGGAAAGAAGAGTCATTTAAGGCAAGGATCGAGTATTCCGGTTTTAATTATGATGCATCCTCCCACCACGGACCACTAGTATCCTGGAAACCAGCCTGGATTTAGGATCAGTTCACCCTTTCTTCTGTAAATAAAAATCACTGGATAATTGAGAATAGGGATGATTTAAATGTGACATTTCTGGGAGTGGTCTCTGATGGCATGGATGCAACATACACTTTTAACAAGCTTGAAATTACGACAGGAAAATAAGCAACCAGAAAAAGCCAACATCACTTGAATTTTGTCCCTCGAAGTGATGTGGAGGTCATATTTCTCATTTCCTCAAATAACATACAGATTAATTGAAACAACTTCAATTTGTTGTCCATGGGGGTGAAGGGAAAGAACATTTTCGGTTTCTTTGTTTGTTACACTGGTCCTCTACATGGTAAGTTAATGTGGGAGAAAAATCACTGCAATTCCATGCGAAGTACTTGGATTCAAAGCTAATGTAGAATATCACCCTTGAGGTTTAAGATACAGGATGGATACATTTTCCTGTTTGTAATGTTAATGAGCTTTGCCTGAAGATGAGGAAGAGAAAAGGAAAGGATTTTTGCTGGCTGACTTCTGGATGAAATCTTATATTTTAGGTCTTCTTCGGATGTGAACACAGTAACTTTCCCACGTGGGTCCAGTTGTGTCACCACTGTGCCACCACTTGGACCTTCTTTGGAGGTTTTGAATGCTATGCTATTTACATGTTGATTCTTCTTAAGGAAATTCACACTATGGTCAAATACATTTACTTCACGTGGAAGTAGTAATTCTAACAGATGTTAGGTATTACAACTTTCTTTTTAATATGTATATAAAAATGAATGAAGGTCTTCTGTCCAAGAACTTCTCTTTTTTTGGAGAGGTTTTTGCTATAGGGCGCGTGCGCTCACCAGAAAGAGAGAGACAGAGAGACAGAAAGTGAGAAATCACCCCCTCAGGGGGGATGGCCACAACGCAATCCCTTCTCTATTCTCCTCTCGGGATCTTGGGCACGCACGCACATGTGCCCGGCGTGAGTTTAAGCCGCTGGGTCCAGGACTAGAACCGCGGTTGACTACATGAGAGTCCAGCGACATAGCCATTACACTAACTGCTGGTCCCCCCAATTTCTTCTCTACCTAGAATATATTCTAGGTGTAGAAACCACTATTCTGTTTGATTGACCAATGACATGCAGGGAGAAGTGGTGTGTGGCACTTTCAGATAGGCTCATGACAGCCTCCTGTGCATGATC